CACCATGTCATGCACTGACCACCTCTCCGCTTCTTCCAACCAGTCCCAGAGTCGGCAAATAATGCACGACGTGGAATTCTCTGGGACGACATTCGGAGAACATGTCCAAGCCACCGAAGTCGGTGTTTCAAGATGGTGACACCAATTGCATTATCATCTCTGTGCCCGAACACACGATGCCGAACCTCTGCATTACTGACATGGTGTTGCCACTGAATGTCAGCAATCCTTCGGAGACAGCGATGATCGAACACAGAGAGTCGTCTAACGTCCTCAACTCGGAGAGGCCAGGTTTCACAAGCATAGAGCAAAACTGCTCTCACCGACGCGTTGTAGATCCGACCTTTTACAGCCAGACTAACATCACGAAGGCGCCAAAGGTGGCCCAGATTGGCATAAGCCGCTCTGGCTTTCACTATTCGTGCATTGATCTCATCACTCACACCCCCACCAGCACTTATGCAGCTACCCAGATACACGAACTTCTCGACTACGTCTATCTGCTCACCATCCAGGGTGAGTACAGGATTAGAATCCTGCCAGTCTTGTAGAAGTACTTTGCACTTCGAAGGTGCAAAGCACATACCATACCTACGGACACTGATTGCCAACTGATTAAGTGCGGATTGCATGCCTTGGGCATTATCGCACAGTAAGACAATATCGTCCGCATACTCAAGGTCGAGAAGTCTTTCTCCAGGCAACAGATCCACACCACCATTACTTACATTCATCAGAGCTGTTTCCAGAATGTCATCGATGGCAAAGTTGAAGAGGAATGGTGAGATTGGGCAACCCTGCCTAACCCCACTGCTCGAATGGAACAATGGAGAGAGGTGGTTGTATGCCCTCACTCTGCCTGAGGTGTTTTTATATAGGGCTTTTAGGATGTTAATAAACTTCTCAGGCACACCCTTCTTCAATAGACAATCCCAGAGAACAGTCCTGTCCAACGAATCGAAGGCAGCCCTGATGTCAAGAAACACTACGATTGTTGGCCTTTGATAAGTATGGCGGTGTTCTAACATTTGGCGGAGGGTGAAGATATGATCAATACATCCTCGACCAGAACGAAACCCAGCCTGCTCCTCGCGAGTCAATCTTTCTCGGGTTTTGAACAACCTACGAAGTATGACGGAAGCCAATAGCTTGGACGCAATCGGAAGTAGACTTATCCCCCGATAGTTGTTACAGGAACGACGTGAACCCTTTTTAAAGATAGGGACAACTATCGACTCATTCCATGACGTTGGTACACTCTCTAGTTCCCAAACCTTTGTAAACAACGTCGTCAATTCCTTAGTCAAAAAGTCACCACCATCTTTAAAAAGAGCCGGAGGTAAGTCATCTGGGCCAGGTGATTTGTAACGCTTCAAGAGTTGGAGTTCCTTGCGGACTTCCTCCTCATTTGGTGGATCAGTCGTCACCGGCCATGGAGGGCAGGACAGTCTGACCGATGTTGCCGGAGCAGCAGGCCAGTTGAACTGCCCTTCGAAAAATTCTGCCCATCGTCCAAGACGTCGATGGATGTTAGTGATTGGCATCCCATCATCCTCGCAGATTGTTTCACTCACACCAGACTTCTTGCTGCCAGTGGCTCGGATGAGCTGGAAGAGCTTCCGGTAGTTACCAGATGCAGCTGCTGCTTCCAGCTCATTAGCACGCATCGACCACCAGGCTTCTCGGTCCTTACGCAAGCTTTGCCCAATTTCCTTACGTAACATCCTTCGTTTATGGTCAAACTCACGGTCACCCGGAGTAGACCGACGGGCTTCAATGAGTTGTAAGGAACCAGAAGAAACCCAGTGCTTAAAAGCGGGACGTTTCGCAAACCCACAACTGACTGTTCCCGCCATTTTCATGGCGTCATGCAATTGCAACCAATGCTCATCTATACTTTTCGGTGGAGTGGTAGCTAGCCTAGAGGCTAGCTCGGTTCGATACTTACTTGCAACAGAAGTTGCAACCAGCTTGCTAACATCAATCCGTTGATGGCGGTCACTTCGTTGTCCACTGAAAAGTAAGGCAAGATTGGCGCAGACCAAGGCATGGTCAGAGTCCAGATAGGTACTCCAAAAGGAGCGGCAGTCTTGTACACAACCACGCCAGCGGTAGCTGATCGCGATGTGATCAATCTGAGTCCAGGCTTGAGATGCAGAGGGAGGACGCCAGGTGGCACATCGGCGATGACTGTGCCGAAAGTTAGTGCTAGCCAGAAACAGGTTGTGGTCTGTGCAAAGTTGCAGTAGACGGTCCCCGTTATCTGACCTGCGACCAACGAGTCCCCATCGGCCACCTAAACGACTCTCTTCTGTGCCTAGACGCCCGACCTGAGCATTCAAGTCTCCGGCTAGTACTACAATATCTGTCGAACGCACTTTCTGGAGAAGAACAGATAACTGGTGGTAAAACTCATCCTTGATTGCATCCGGGCTGCAATCTGTCGGGGCATAGGCGGAGATGACGAAAAGACATCGTTTCTCACGCCGATTTCTTCTCACTTTGATGGAACTTTCTAATCTAACAGCACATAACCGACTGTTAATGGGGATCCAATCGACTAGTGCTGCCTCAGCTCTAGCGCTTAGTGCGACACCAACGCCAGCAAGACCAGACGAAGATGCCACAGGGTCCCCGGATAAGCGCACGTAAAACAAGCTTTTCGAAGCGACAGATGGAGATCGAATTTGTAGTACTTCGCCAGAGTCTTGAATACGGGTCTCGGATAGACAACAAACATCAATATTAAGACTTTCCAAAGACATAGCCAGCCCTATCTGTTGTCCGACCTGCATAAATGTGCGAACGTTGAAGGCAGCCAGTTTGAATGGTGCACGTGGTTTCAGAAAAACTGCTTCAGTTCTCGTATTCGGTGGTAACATACAATTTTCAACCGGACAGTGACTCGAGAACGTTTAGATACAGTCGAATTTCCACCAAAGACGAGCCGCTGTATAAGTATAAAAGAGGGTGAATAATGTGGTAAATAATAATAACAATAATAATAATGACAATAATTGTAATGATAATAATTTGAATCAATTGATTGTTTTTCGAAGCGAGAAAAGTAATTTCCATAGACATAAAGAGTTCATCATTTGTGTGTGGGCTGTGATACTGCCCGGGTGCCCAAACCGAAGCAGGTGGTTATCTTAGGGGGCCACACCCCGAGCCTTTGACCTAAAGGTCTAACCCACAAGGCAGTGGAGCATCGTAAGGAGATGCATTCCCATGGTAGCCGGTGACCGAAAATTGGTTCATACGCCATTTGTTCCCGCAGGATACTGGAGCTCATGTGCACCATTGGTTTGTGATCCGGTTAAAGCGCCGGACATTCGCTTTTCGTCCTCTCATTTTCGTAAACAACACCCCCGCCACGAGAAGGCGATGAGTAGAACTTCCCTGGCAGAGGCTGTATACGCGCGGCCGTGTGAGAGTATTTCGAGAGGGAGAGCGGACTCTCCCCACTCTCGGCGGTACCAGGGCATTTGATCAAATGTTTTCATGCGAGACATCACTGTATATCTGTGTGTATGGTAGTGATGGTGTTGACATCCTTGTGTATCAATGGTGTGATAAATAAACAGGGTTAGATGCTGTTGTTTAGGTAAAACGACCACGTTGGATGAATAGTCAGGTTTTACCTTATCATATGAAACGCTTCAGCTACTCACTTTTCTTTATATTTGGAAAAATCTTTCTGAACGATTTCGACCTTTTTAATATCGATCTGGTGGTCGTTAAAAACAATATGTACGGTCATTTCAGATTTTTCTGTAGATGTCCCGTGGGACGATTAATGATTTCACGAAAAGACTCCAAAATAGAAAGCATTATAATCGACACAACCTAATGCGTATATGTAAGAGGAATTTTCTCTTGTATCTTCAGATTTATCCTTCTGATGTAAAGGTATTGGTAAATCAAGCCGGCAGTCCATTTGTGACCGTTTTAACTTTTAGTATTTTAACGAAATCCTTACTTTGTGAAATTATGCCTGTCAATTTGCTCTTTTTTCCCTGCAGTCATAACAATGTACGAGTACGTACGTGATAAAGATGATGAGCTAACATTTGTAGAGAACCAAATAATATACGTTATTAAGAAGAATGATGACGGTTGGTGGGAAGGAATTATGAATGGCAAAACTGGTTATTCCCAGGAAATTACGTGGAACCTTTCGATACGGAATGATTAACCCTGACAACGAAGACAACTTTGCTCAAGTAAACCAGCGCTTATCTGTTTAACTTAATACAAATACTTTTTAATTTTTAATGGTTAATTTATCTAACAAATTATAATCATCGTCATCATGCTCATCTTCTGATTTTCCAGAACACTGTTCCTCTTCGTTCTCGCTCTCAGTGTCTTCATCAGAGTAGTTTTCTGCACATGTCTGGCGACCATACTCGTAGCTGCGAACTAAAGCAAAAAAACCAACATTAAAACAAATAAGGAACTTTCCTAAAGATTAAGAGTACGATCGATATGACTACTAAATATACGTTAGAAGTATTGTGCATTTACTCCGAACGTGGTTACTTCATAATAGTAGCATTTCTGTCAATGATATTCTTGGTTTAGATATTGCCTGAATGACATCAGATCTGGATAATAAGCGAATTATCAGTAACAGGCAACCGAAATCGTAAGATTCATTATTTACAGAGAATAACTCAGAATATCGTTATTACTATCAAAGTCCCGAATTTATATACTGAAAAAAGGCACTTGAAAATACTAACCAATAGATTGCTTTTAGTATAAGAATTAGTACGTATATCTGTGAAGAGTGTAAACATATCCAGTTTGAGAAGATACGGTTTGTTGCGCAACAGTACCTTATGGTTTGTCATTCTATTACCACAGATTACAATTAATACGTCAAGATGGAACCTACTCATTATATATAAACGAATGGCAGGATGATTCGCAATCAAATCCTAGCTCGAGCACGTCTTATGTGGTAACATTTTGAAATGGTCAGTCTATGTATATTGGCTATCGGAGCAACTGCTTTATTTTTCTTTCGTCAATTTTTTTTTAGTTAAGATATTTACATTGCCTAATCTACTATTGACACATTCGTGATTACTTTGGATTTTATTCGATTTGTATTTATCGAACTTAACAGTCTAGTTTTCCATATATTTTATCACAACTTACCTGATACGCTCAAATTATAACTATCAGTTAAATCATGTCCGCATTTCGGACAAGGAATAGGCCTTCCACGTTCATACTTCACACCTTTTCTCTTGCAGTGATCGTCACAATATGTAACTTTACAACGGAGACACGTTTGTGTTCCCATTTTGTTACATGAAGCACATTTAAAGTTCTCACTTTCTAAACGTTGACAGCTTGCCTGAAATATTACATGGGAAATGATAAGTTATGGTACAAACATAAAATACTGTATAATAAAAACAAATTCTATCAGTTAATTAGAACTAAGTCTGTGTGAGAACCATTCTCCAATGATTCTTCAAATATTTCAGTCTAATCATAATAGCATCAAACTTTGTCAATGTATGCAGTTCTTCGTTCGAGGGTTTTAATAATGATGTTTTAATGTCCATTTAGTGTTCACTTTGTGTCTTGTTTTAGATAAACACATTTAGATTTAAGTTTACGTTTCGCTTAATCAAGCGACAGGAAGTCAGTAAGAAAAACGAAGAAATGGGAATGACAATTTAACACAAAACAAGGATCATGTGATATTGTAAACGTGTAGGAAAATAATTATTGAAGGTATTCACATTACTGAGAGGTTTTGGAACATAACTCTTGAGATTTTTTCAACTATTGAAAATAGTTACCTTATCAACTTAATACCTTTTCACTTGTACAAACAACAAATGACTTTATGAACGGATTGCATTTTATGGTGTCAGTCCTGTAAAACTTCAAATCAACACTTAACACAGATGACATTAATCTGCGGCGCATATATATTTTGGTCCCCCTGTGTACCACTATTTATGTATTTAAATAAATAAAATAAAACCCAACATGTACTATAAGCAACCACTACCAATATTATCCTGGGACGAATTATATGGATTCCATAAAACAACAACATACCTGGTGCTCAAACTGGTCATCCTCACAAAGCTTGTGGTCACAATAGGCGCAAGAAAACACCCGACCACCAAAACTGTATAACCCGCGCTCACATTCAACACAAACAGCGTCTCTCAGTGGACATTCACATGCATGTACAGATAAACACTTCTCCCCATGACATATCCAAGCTTCACAAAAGTCGCAAACCGCTCCCTTGAATATTAAGTGAATAAGGAAATGAAATGTTAGTTGATGGATAGTGCAGAGCGGTATGTCTGAAGGTCGATAAAAATAAACCCCAAGAACTTCTAGATACTGAGTCTGCTGCATGAGTCTAACCAGAGATGATGGCCTTGATCTATGTCTTTTCATTCATAGCCGTGAAGGTAAAGATGATTTCATTCGTCAGGGCTCGTAATGAAGTACAAGTTGACTGTTTCATATGTTAAAACATAACTAGAAAAACACTCCAGTAATAGTGGTTATTCCAGAATTTTAAATCCTATTTAGACCAATTAGCTGGGCGAACTCGTCTGTTAGATAACACAAATAATTTCGAAAACTGATATTGAAATTGTCAGTGTGTTAGTCATTTTTTAAACACTGCTGCATTATATGTAGCAAAAGGTATTAAAATATAACGATACATTCCCTGAAGTTAAAATAGTATTATCGGTCAGTCAGCTACAACATAGGACTAGGCACATATATACATCGGTCCAAGTTGCCATACCTCATTAGCACAACAAGATGAACATCAAATTCATAGAAGTAGTCACTACAATGGTAGTAATGTATAAAAGAAAGTTTGCGTATAAGGATATAGCACAGGAAGAAAGAATTAGTCCGTAGAAAGATATATCAAGTCAGTCATTTTCAGACGTTGTGGCAAGAATGGCTTGAACATTTCCACACGAAAGTGTCAGGACGCTAGTCACTCTTTCCTTTACTAATGTTGTGTAGTCTTAACGTTAGTTTAGTACATCACTTTGGGTGAAAAAGGTATCATAAGTCATACTAACTTTTTGATTTCTGCAATGTTTTATTCAACGCAACGCCAGAAACTTTACACACTTCTTAGTTTCGAATAATTTAGTAGCAATTTACTGACTGAACAGAACTAATTAGTAACTTCAATATTCCCATTGTGATAAATTGAGAAATTAATTTAAAAACAGTCACACTTTCAGTAGTTTTCTGCAGGTTATATAATTTCTGGGACTTTTTCATTATTTATTCAGTACAGAAATGTTACCAAAACTAGTTAAATCCGAACAATTGTTTGCTTTTGCAGTATGTAATTATAGGGCATAGTATGCAGACCCCGAAGTGATGATTTAGTTGTGGCTTAAAAAAGACAATATCCTACACTAGCGTTGGACATGTAAAAGGGATTTTAATTATAATCGTAAGTTATTTGACCAAAATATAGAACGGACTCCAAATGGAACTTCTCCGATTTACAAACTACCCTGGTGCATCTCAGTAATTAAGTTTAGGTATAAGTGTAGAGTTTTGAGACAGGGTATAGAAGGGTTAGACGTATTATTGAAATATGCAGGCAGAAAGTGTAGCTTCATTCGAATCTGTGACCCACTAGTCAAAAGACGACCATCTAAACCAGCGACTACACTTACCACCATACTGAGTCCCGTAACATTTGTAGAACCATGTTTAACTAGACAATCGCCAGAACGTGCAGAACACTTTTGTTTACCACAATGACAACACACTGGGAGTCTTTGGATAGACTGGCAAAAATAACAAAATGCTCGGTTTTTCTGATGCTTCCCACACTGGCCACACTCCTATAATTTGATAATCTTGAACTAAACACAGACATACCATCAATATGTTCGAAGGATGGTTGATAAGATCTATTTCTAGTCCTTTTTTTCGGAGTAATTTTTGTCTTATCTTAGCTTTTTCAGCTTTCTTTCTTTGTCCAGTCTTCTTTTTAGGCATTTTGCTGTAAATTATCGGTTTTGAGATTAGTGTAAATACATTTTACGTGAACAGCTGAGCAAACCACTACATCAAAATAAAACACAAGCAACTTGATTAGATGTAAAGTAGTTCCAAAAAACAGTTCCGCTGGACAACATCCGATATCTTGACTAATTGTTACCCTTAAGCCCAACATGACTAGAGGAAGTCCATTGGCCCGATCGGTATTGTCAAGACAGCTGTGAGAGAAGTTTTTAGTTCCCCATGTAACCGCTCTATCATATGATTTTCTATCGGATGGTTCGTGGAACTATTCTACGTCCACCCGGAGAAATTTTCGCTTTAGGTAGGTGTCCCAGCTGATATAACCGTTTAAAGCAACACATTTGTGATTCAAGAATAACGCCTCCGACAACTTGGCAAAATTACCCACGTATTTATCAAGAGATAATGTACAGTGCCCCGTACAATGACGCGTTTAAGGAAACGACAAAACTGTTATGGTAGAAAGGGCTGGGAAAACGCATGCAATTATGGTTGACTGAGTCAAACCGGCTTTCATCGGAAGTAACAATCAGCCGTTAAGTACTTTTCATATTATTACCACTATTTTTATTAATCTTCACAGTTCTCTCAACAGATCTTCATTATCTTTACATTTAAACGTGACACATTTTTTGAGACGTTAAGGATGTACGTATTTCCGATATTCAGAGTATTAATATTCACATGTACATTATATATAATATATAAAGCCCCTTAAATTTTTGAAACATAACGCAGGGAAATGCTACTAATTAATCAGTAACCCAAATGCCCTTGTACGGCCGAGAATGGGGAGAGTCAGCTCTCCTTCTCGAAATGTTCTCACATGGCCACGTGCATGCAACCACTGCCAAGGAAGTCCTACTCATTGCCTTTTCGCGGCATTACTGTTGTCTGCAAATTTGAGAGGATGAAAAGCGAACGTTCGGCGCCTTAACCAGATTGGTGGATCCATATAGGGAAGTTGGAAAACCATGATTCCAAACCAATGGTGCACATAGGCTCAGGATCCTGAGGGAATAAATGGTACATGAACCAATTATTGGTCACCGGCTACCATGGGGCTGAATCTCCTGACATTGCCCCACTGCCTTGTGTATTAGATCTTCAAGTCAAAGGATCGTGATGTGGCCCGCTAAGAGAACCACCTGCTTCGGTTTGAGCAACCGGGAAGTATCCCAACCCTTACACAAATCGGATGGTTTATGTGGCGCATATCTATTTGGTGTCTCCTTGTACCAATGTTTATGTGTTTAAATAATAATAAATAATAGCATTATATAAAAAACATTTCAATACATACGTGTCATCTCAATTTAACGCTTACGAGCTAAACTGAGCTTACTACTTATTTATAAAAAAATCTCTTGTTAGCGTTACATTGTTGAACATAGATGTTAAAAATGCCAGTGTTCTGAAAAGGAGCTTATTTGATAAGTCCTTATCAAACTATTTGTACGATCTATTTTCCCAGGTCACATAAGAAAGGCCAAGAACTGCCTGTTATATGTTAATAACCTACCCACTGTAATTTGGACATCTGATCCACTATAGATACGAATGTGTCAGTTTGACTCAACCCATACCTGCATCCCAATCTTTATCTATTATTGTGGATGTAATTAGTTATCAACAATACAGCTTTCCCCAACAAATAATATTCCGGCTTCTTAATATTTTCGAGTAGATATATAGTGGTACCAAGAAGATTAGCCTGTTGAGAAATACAAAGTCAACGAGTCATATTTTCGATTCAAAGTGAGGAATTAACTTTAACAACAGCCGAATAAGGGCAGAAAATGAGGACATAAACTGAATATACATAACCAAACAAACCAGTGGAGAAGGTTATTAGGACTGATGGGTAGAAGTACGTACAAAACCTAGAAACTATAGCAGAAAAAGCTGCAAGAGAATAGAATATGGGACAAATATATCATGCAACCAAGAGGCTAACAGAAAAATATGGTAAACTAGAGATACCAGTAAAGAAAAAGGAGAACTAATCAATGGGGACTAGGAACAGTGACACAGGTGGATAGAGAACCTTGAATAGCTATTTAATAGACCACCTCCACTGAACGCACCAAGCATTTAAGCAACACATACATACCTAAAATTGTTACCAACAACAGAAATCGGTAAGGCCATCAGAAAAATCAAGAGTGGGGAAGCAGAAGGATCAGATAGCATACCAGCCGGAGCCTGAATTCAGACAGAGTTTAGTGAAAAAATGTTTCACAATTTGTCCAGAAAGACTTAGGAGGAAGAGCAAGTACCAACAGGCAGATCGTATTAAGTCTAGGAAATACAAAGGGGTCATACTACTGCCAGCACCAGGCAAAGTTTGCAAGTGTTGCTGAACCGAATGAAGATTCGCTAGATATCTAACTGAGAGATTAACAAGCTGGCTTTCGTAAGGATCGATCATGTATTAACCAAATGACTATAAGCATAATAACTGAATGGAACTCATGGCTGTACATCAATCTCCTTCATAATGAGAAATCGTTAACAATGTACATAAGAAAACCTTATAGAACCTTACTTGATACTATGGAGTTCCTCAGAAGACTATCACCATCACATGAAAGCCTTACGGGGACTGAATTGCAAATTTGTGCGTGGACGTCAGCTTACAATTCAGTCAGTCAGTCAGCTACAACGTAGGACCAGGCACATGTATGCATCGGCCCAGGTTGCCATACCTCATTAGCACAGCAAGATGAACACCGGATTCATAGGAGTGGTTAGGTCAAAGGTGGTAATATATAGGAGAAAGATTGCAATAAGGATATAGTATAGGAAGAAAGAATTAGTTCGTAGAAAGAAAGATGTGAAGTGATCTTAATCTCTTAGTTTAAGAGAAGACAGAGAGTGTATACACCGACGCCATTGTGATCGATTCTGAGCCATGTCACCAAGGGTCTCCAACCATTGGTTACGAAAGTCACGCGGACCCCAACCAAGTAGTCTGCATCTACCAACATGGCTCAGACTAGAAGTTAGTGACTTCAGGCACTGATGCCACGTTTTGGTTTGGCCGCCCCTAACTTTCTTCCAACCATCCCCTACACCGGTTAGCATTGCACGTCGCGGTAATCGGTGTTCAGGCATACGTAATACGTGGCCCAACCATCTCAGTCGATGAAGATTCATAACCTCATCAACTGATTTACCATCATTCCCTAATACCCTGCGTCTAACCTCACTATTACTTACCCGGTGATCCCAGCAGATGCCAGCAATATTTCTAAGGCATCTGTGGTCAAATACTAGTAGCTTACGGGTGTCTTCTACTCTTAAGGGCCATGTTTCGCTGCCGTAAATTAAAACAGAACGGACAGCCGCGCAGTATACTCGTCCTTTTATTGATAGACGGATATCTCGCCTCCGCCAAAGGTGACGTAAGTTGGCAAAAGCCAAACGAGCTTTACGAATCCGTGCTGAGATTTCGTCAGACACCAACCCATTAGGGCTGATCAGACTTCCAAGATAAGTGAAGTTGTCAACTCGTTCGACTACTTCACTCCCTATCCTTAGTTCAGGTGTTGACGCAGACCAGTCCTGAAGCAACAACTTGCATTTAGAGGGAGAGAAGCGCATCCCAAACATTCTGGCATTGTTGCTTAGTGCTACCAGAAGACTCTGCATTTTGTCAGCGTCTTCACCAAACAGGACTATGTCATCTGCATATTCTAAGTCGATAAGTGGACCTCCTGGAAGGAGATCAATACCCGAGAATTCAGTCGACGAGAGTGTTATTTCCATCAATAGGTCTATGATGAAGTTAAACAAAAATGGAGAAAGTGGGCAGCCTTGACGGACACCACTTGAGGTTGCAAAAGTAGATGACAGTTCGCCATAAGCCCTGACTCGACTAGTAGTGTTCGAGTAAAGAGCCTTCACAAGGTTTATGTACTTCTGAGGTACGCCTTTCAATGACAGACACTGCCACAGAGTCTCGCGGTCTACAGAGTCAAATGCTGCTTTTAAGTCAAGAAAGACCACCATCGTCGGACGCCGATAGGTATGCCTGTGTTCTAGAACCTGACGAATGGTGAATATGTGGTCGATGCAGCCACGACCAGGTCTAAAGCCAGCTTGGTTCTCTCGTGTTTGTAGTTCACGAGTCTTAGTTAGGCGTTTGATAATTATCGAGGCCAGTATTTTAGATACTATGTTTGTTAAACTAATCCCTCTGTGGTTGTCACAGGATGATTTTGACCCTTTCTTATATATTGGGACGATAAGTGATTGCGACCAGTCAGATGGGATAACGTCTAATTCCCAGATCTTAGCTAAAATATTAGTCAACCTAATCGCTAAAATTGGACCACCATCCTTAAAGACTTCTGGAGCCAATCCATCTGGACCAGCTGCCCTTCCTCGTTTCAGATTAACTATAGCCTTCTCAACTTCAGCAAGAGTTGGGGGACCTACTTCAATGTTCCATTCACACTGTCTGGGAATGGAGGGTAGTTGTAGAGTAGCTGAAGGCCAGCTGAACTGTTCTCTAAAATGTTCCGCCCATCGTTCTAAACGTCTGGACTGGGAGCAGATGAGAGTATCATCTTTTTCCGAAATAATCTCACTTACACTTGACTTATTAATTCCAGTTTCTTTTATTAGTCTGTAAAGCTGTCTTGTGTTCCCTATAGTCGCCGCCTTTTCCATCTCTTTTGCTTTCGTTACCCACCACTGCTCACGGTCGTTCCTTAGACTTTTTCTTAACCTAGATCTGATTTGTTTACGCTCTTCATCATGTTCAGAACCTGATGGGACGAGTTTGCGAGAATCCATCAGTGTGACAGACCTTGAAGAAATCCACTGGTTCCTTGTAACTCTGTGGTTTAAGTCACTAATAGATGTCACTGCTGTTTCCACAGCTGCTTGTATGCCCTTCCAAGCAACATCTGGGTCAGCCTCGTCTTCACAACTACCTAAGTGTGACCTCAGTTGTTCCTGGAACCTACTTTTGGTTTTCTCGTTACTCAACTCAGTTCTAATGGGTCTTTTTAATGTGGCTTTTTTGCGTCCAGTGAGGCGCAAGCAGATGCGTGCCCGTATTAGGGCATGGTCGGAGTCCAAGCAGGTACTCCAGAATGAGCGACAATCTTCTACCGACCCTCTCCAACGATGACTGATGGCAATATGGTCTATTTGAGTCCATCGTTGGTTTGGTGTAGGGGGTCGCCATGTTAGACGATGTCTCTCCTTATGCTTAAAATTTGTGTTTGCTAAAAATAAACGATTGTCTGAGCATAGCTGCAGCAGACGATCACCATTATCTGTTCGCTGTGTCGGAATACTAAAATATCCACCTAAATGCCTTTCTGTTTGGTTTAAACTGCCTATCTGAGCATTAAAATCACCTGCTACGAGTACTATGTCTGAGCGTTTAGCTTTCTGAAGAAGTTCGGACAGCTTTCTGTAAAATTCATCTTTCACTTCATCTGAGCTGCAGTCAGTGGGAGCGTAGGCAGAAACGACAAAAAGGCAACGACGTGTGTCCCTATCCTTCCGAGTTCTTACGTAGCCGTTCAGCCGAACAGCACATAGACGACTGTTGACGGGGATCCACTCTAGCAGTGCTTGTTCGGCCCTCATGCTTAGTGCTATGCCTACACCTGCCAGTCCACGAGAACTTGCCATCGGGTCACCAGACACACGAAGGGTGTATCTCGTTGGCTCTCCGTCTTGCCGAGGTGAGGTCAAGTGAATGACCACACTGGAATCCTGTATGCGTGTTTCGGAGACACAGCATACATCAATGGAAAGAGACTCTAGGGTTTTAGCCAAGGAAGCCTGCTGACCGATTTGACATAGGGTGCGTACGTTGAAGGCTCCAATGTGTAGTTTGGAGCGAGGTTTCAGTAGACCTGGGACAGTGTTTTGCGCACTAGAATCGTTGGCTATGGTGACACTTGAGGTGGAAGCCGAGAGAGGAATTTAGAGTTGAAAGTCGATGTAGGAGGAATAATAGGAATTGAAGAGGAGGTTGATTATGAATACAGTGGTCTTGAGTGCTGTTAGAAGTATGAGGGCGGTTATCACTTCCCGGTTGCCCACACCGTGGAAGGGTTGTTCTGGAGGTACCTGAAAAGGAAATTGGATTAAAGGTGGTCTTAGTGAACTGAGAGCGTGACCGCAGTGCCCAAGGGACAACTGCTTGAGGTCGGTCACACACGACCTTTTTATGGGTAATTTTTGTGTTAGCTCCGTACTTATTGAGACCTTACCGCCGGAGACGGATATCCGTGGGATAAGGCGAGGTGTGCATTTTTAGGGTCGACCTTTTCTAACCCCACCCCTCCTTGTGGGAAGGCAGCATCGCTGTCATGCTGGTTGTCTGAAGGAAACACCTTACTGCTGTCACACCTCTGTACAGTCAGCAGTACGACTTCGCCTTCGGACCTTGGGTTTGTTGCTTTTAGTCTTACCGCTCTTCAACCGACCTGTCTGACATGGTAGGACCTTGAGGAACGGTTGTTCCAGCCAGTATAGCTCGGTTGCTTCATCACGATAGGCAAGCCCGACCACCACGTCAAGGTAGCAACAACGGTCGGGAGCTTACAATTGCATGCAATTGTATGCAAATGCAAGCTTACAATTGCATTTCAAATGAAGACTAATATCAGACAAAGCTGCCTACTCTTACGTTTTCTTTTTTCTGGTTGTTGACTATATTATAAAGACCAGATCTTGGGAAAAACAGCGAATTCGAACGCAACTGGATGACTTGAAATTTGTATATGATTTATCCCTATTACTCTATAAATAGCAGCAAACGTAGATGAAGACAGCCAATGTAGCAGCAGCATGACTGAGGTAAAAATCAAGATCCTGATAAACAAAACAGAGAGTATCAACCAAACAAAACTGCATGATGAACTTCTGGAAGAGGTGTAAACTTTCATGTACTTGTGCAGCATTATTGATAAACAATGAGGATATGATGCAGACGTCGAGGAAAGGAAACCTAATATTGAAAAATTCACGCAAACTGACTGGATCAGGAACATGTGCCCGTTTGGATTTCAGTTTGCTTGATCCTTTGCAGGGACGATCGGCAGAGACAGAAATAAATGAGCGCCGACGGAACATTAAAAACCCTGTACTTAAAGGTTTCTACATTGTGAAAGTTCGGAGCCAAACGATGCCCGAAGCACTCTGGGTGGTGGGGGAAGGTATTTCACATAATTAAAGGTATGCTATACTAATGCTCGCAACCTACTAAATAAAATGGCGGAGCTCAAAAACGTGGTGGATACATAAGGCTCTTATGTCATTTCCATGCCAGAAACATGATTAACGTCAGAAGTGTATGATAACGAGATTCGATTGTTTAGTTTCTTACTTTGTAGGACCGTAAGTGTGGTGAGGTCATTGAATTAGTTGTAATACATTGCAGTTCAGAAAATGTAGTGGATGACTTCTTCCCAAATGAACTTAAATCCTGACCAAACAAATGTAAAAGCATTATAGTAGATAAATTAAATGCAACCTTTTATAAATTGGCGAAGCCTAAAAGTAGGGTTATCAAAAACATAGTTCTATTGCAAATTGTTAAGAACGGCAATCGCCCTGGATTTATTCCAACTACATATGACCCAACAAACTAATCGTTTGTCTTGGAATTAGTCTTTACACAAAGTGATGAGGTTAGTCAAATAATCTTTCTTCCACTACTAGAAGTAGTGATCATACGTCATTTTATGCATGTCCATGGCTTCTACTGTCTATCAAGCAGTTGAACAGGCTCGTCCTAATATATGAAACGCATATATGAAGACGATCAACGCTCCAACCTCGATTGAAAAGTGGAAAACTGATTCCATCACATTAGTAAGAGGTGCACGAATACAGAAGGCTCGACTAGCTTTTACCAACTTGCGTCATTTATGGCGTAGGCGAGATATCCGTCTACCAACCAAAGGACGGGTTTACTGTGCAGCAGTTCGTTCCGTCCTACTTTATGGCAGTGAAACATGGCCAGTAAGAGTAGAGGATATTCGTAGGTTACTAGTATTTGATCATAGGTGTCTTCGAAACATTGCTCGTATATCCTGGGACCATCGAGTAAGTAACGCAGTTGTTAGGAAACGGTTACTAGGTAAGATGGCAAATCAATTGATGACGTGGTGAAACTTCATCAGTTGAGATGGCTGGGACGTGTTACGTATGCCCAACGACCGACTGCCTCGACGTGCAATGTTCAGTGGTATAGGAGTAGGTTGGAAGAAAGCTAGGGGTGGCCAGACCAAAACATGGCACAAGTCCATGAAGTCACTGACAAGTGGACTGAGTCATGTTGGCAGGTGTAGACTACCTGGTTGGGGACCGCGAGATGATAGCAACCGATGGTTAGAGACCCTGAATGACATGGCTCAAAATCGTTTGCGATGGCGCAGGTGCATACACTCTTTGTGTCCTCCCAAATTTTGATCTCATTCCTCCTTGTCTCTTTTTTCTCTTCCCACACTTATTTCACTGGATTATACTCTTTAAATAACATCTTCAAACCCTAATCTTCCCAAATACTGCTTATACTTTTATTACCTCTACCACTACGGGATTTGAATCGGCAACTGCATCTGTGTGCTAATGTGGTATGGCAACTCGAACTGATGTACGTACGTACGAAGTTCTATGTTGTTACTGACTGTACGAACTCATTTCCGGCAGTTATACAATCAATTACACAACCATTTATACCATGGACAGTCCCAAAGAAGAAAAAGCAAGGCCATTCCTGGATAAGCTGGAGTATTCGACGTTCACTAAGACAAAAGAATGTTGGAACATCACCATCAACCTTGGCATGGCAAATACAATGGAACGCTGCAGGCCGGTCCGAAATAAGTGTTCAGGCACAGTCCAGGCAGTTCGGCGAAAATACGAAAAGCGGTTGACCCAGTAGTCTGTAATCAATAAGCCAAAGCGACTGTTCTTGTACATAAATAACGGGACAAGAATGCACCATTGAATTCCCAACTTAATTACAGGAGCGCATCACAAATGAAGGACGGAAACCAAGACAAAGCACGGGGCCATGGAGAACTATTCCAGGGCGGTTTTCACTCAGGACCCTCTACTAGATGAGGGACTAGACCCGGATGCAAAGTCAGAAAGTTGACTATTCATTGTGAGCCATGACGTTCTAAAGGTCCTTAGCACTTAAACACAGAAAAATCAAGAGAACTGGATGAACTACACCTTAAAATCTTGAGACAAACTGCCCAATTGACTATGATATTCATTGTGTCACTTAGCCAAAGCGAGTTACTGATGAACTGGAAAGATGCAATTGTCACTCGAACTCATAAGATAAGATTAAGACAACTTCTATCAACCTACAAACCTGTCAACCTCACCAGTGTCGTACTAAAGTATAGGTAGAAACAATCAAAAAAGGCCACGATGACATTCGTGGAAACCGAAAATTTGTCAAACAGCGAACAAGATGGATTTAGGAAGAGATTACTTTGTACAAGAAACCTCCTTATAGAAAGAGAGAAATAGAGTGAAGCTCTAGATAATGGAAAATCAGTGGACACTGTCTACGTCGATTTCAACAAAGCATTTGATTGTGCTGAATAATAGACTCCTCCTGAATCTAGAAAATCTAGGAATCGCTGGACTTCTCCTAAAGTGGACCAAGGATTTCGTGGCAGGTCGCAGAAAAAAGTAATAGATCCCAAGTGCTCCTGATGGAAACCAGTAATTGGTGGAGTAGCGTAGGGTTGTCCTAGGTTCTTTACTTTTATACTGTATGTAAATGAACTTCCGAGTATAGTTGAGTCTCTGATACTACTTCACGTTGATGATTTAATGATTTGGCTAGAAATAACCGGAAACACAGATGCATGTGCACCTTAGGAGGACTTAGAGCTTCTGATTAGCTGGTCTAAAAATGACTGGTACCTGTCAATGAGGCCAAGAGTGTCTACATGCATATGGGGAATATGAAAGTAAACAGGAACAACATAAACGAGTTCATACTCATAGTCCGATCTCATAATGATTTTGTACTAACAGTGAGTCAAAGTCATAGGTTACTCCTGTGCGATTGCAGCTAAAGGGTTCAGAACTCTATGGGCTTTAGGACGGACATTTAGCAAGTTAGATGCTTGTATGTTCACTACAGTATACACAACCATAATGGGATCCAAAATTGAAAACTGCGTTGAGGCTGTAAGGCCATGTTTAAGATTGCTCGGATATCTCCGAAACAGAACAGAGGGCAGCAATCAATGAAATTCCAAAACTCAGGTGTTAACCATAAACTGAGAGACTTAAGACGCTAGTCCTACAGGTCCTGCCCCAGATTAAGAGGTGACCTTATTTTAATGTGCAAAATGCTAAATGATTTCGCACTTGATATTTTCTCTTTTACTTCCTACCAGGCCAGCTCAGATATAACAGGCGAGTACAAAAGCCAAACGAACAAAATACCCGTGACATGCAGGTTTCCATATCGAGTGATCGCTTCCCCGAAACTGTTGTTCGAATATGCGGTGTCTACCCCTTAAATTGACTCACTCAAGAGAAGATTAGGCACTCACAGCTTGCTAAAAAAGGACTAACACATGCTGTAGACCTTCTGTCCTCAACACACATCTGAATCTGACAAAGCAAATGGAACATTCCAAACACTAAGGAACCGTTACGCAAGACCGAAGTCAGGAGATTCGACACTGATTTCTAAACAGACCTATTGTACTGCTTCAAAATTTGGAAAATTACAAACATCATCAAAAAGTACGGGTATTTATAAACATGTGTAGAAATCTGCAGATTTCTACACAAGAGACTCCAATCTTCAATAGAAAGTAAAGGTCGATCGACCCACGGTAATCCTTGCAATTTGTAGTACTGTAAAGAATCAACTTATTAACAATATCTCTAGACTTTGCTAATACAGTGGAACTAGTTAACCGAGTGTAACTATTGTTACAATAAAATAAAAAAACACTCCTCATTGCTCAGACAGATTTCATTTTCAAAGAAAGAATTTTTATTAATCGGTGTAGACAACCAGTGAACAATAAATTTTACATCCAGTAACGAATAAAACTAGTACCGTGTAATCGATTTCGGATATTTAGATTGCCACGAGATCTGCTAGTTTGACATAAGTTAGAGCGCACTTTGCAAACGTCAGGGTCATTGTCAATAGTGCTAATCTGCCTAGGTTTCATAAAAAAATCCGTAAATGAATCGGCTGTTCAATCCACCCATTATGTTGTCCAATCAGTTAACAAGAACATAGGAATCAGTACTGCTATTCAAATGTTAAACAAAAAGCACATCTGTTTCAATTTGTCTGAAAACGTGGGAATGCGATCACCGTTCGTGATGATTTTTCAGTTATCATGAAATTCAAACACAGCTATGACCTTTATATCAGTCTACAGGACAAAACAGACAGGCTAATTCGGGAACAGATAAACTGGAAGCTCGAAATTCCAGAATCTGTTAATCACACCGATTACTTGACGGAAGAATAACAAACACAATATCATCCAAGACCCTTTAATGTAAATTCAAATGTCACTGCTGGCGGACAGGACTGTAGTGACTCACATTTATCACGAGAACACGACTGGTTTAATAAAAACAATTATTATCATAACCAACTGTGCCAGTGTTTGTCTTTATGTGCTTTTGTTTGACTGTGCTAATGACAGCTATATTGTGCTTCCATTCTTATTCTTACACTTTGATTGTAACTTCGCGCGAATTCGGTTACGATCTGTAACCAAGCTTCATTCCTGGCACGATCTCCGTATCCTTTCGATACCACGAGATCGCCAGCAAATATATCTCGATTTGGTCTATTAATTGCCTTCTGATATTTGGCTTCTCGGGGATTTTATGGATTTATTTGGTTACGTTCAACCTTCGCCTTCTGATTTACTTGGCACGTGTATTTTGGTAGCGGTGTTCATAGTTAATCTCGACTCGACGCCACGCTACAACTGGTGAGCCGTATTTTGGAACACGCCCCAGCCTCTGGTCCAATCTTCCAAAGAAGCCAATTCGGTGAGTCTATAGTTTATCTATCCACGTCTGTCGTATATTTCCAAATTATCTTTTAATATTTAATATACACGACATGACGGATAGCGATGAGAATAGTATTAATATAATAGACTCCCATGTACGTGTACCGAATCGTTGTCACTTTTTATTCGCGTGACGATTAATTCCACGCTTTATTCGAGAAATTTTCCCCTATTAACTATTTTCCTCGCTGACCCGGCTGCTTGGTACGGAATGCATACGCATAAGCATATCTGTCTACCACCCAGCACCAAATGGTTAAGTAAACGGTTTCACTGCCAACTTAAAAGTGCTCTACGAGCACACGAAAACGGCAACTGGCACGAAACCTTACCGTTCGTTCTCTTAGGCATCAGAACGAGCTTGAACGCAGATATCCAATGTTCCGCCGCTGAACTTGTATACGGCACGACATTGCGTCTGCCCAGAGAATTCTTCACACCACGGAGCAGACCTGATTTCGGTAAAACCGACTACGTCCATCGACTGTCTGCATTTACGCGAACGCTGTCTCCGGTGTCAAATGGAATACAACATCGACAGGTCGCTCTCCCTCGAGAGTTATTCACCTGTTCACATGTTTTCATACGAGTAGATTTGGTACGCAAACCTTGGCAACAACCTTACGAAGGCCCTTTTCACGTGATCGCTCGTCACGAAAAGACCTTCAAGGTTGATCGACATGGCCGCGTCGAGATCGTCAGCATTGATCGTCTCAAACCAGCACACGTCGATGACAGTGCACTATCTGATACCCTGAGATTCAATGCTAGACCTATCAAACCTAGCGGGATCCTTAAATCTTATTCAGGTCCAACGCTAGGAACATCTGAGACCTCATTCTCACGTCCCGGTCAACAGCACACGTCATCTGCACCGTCTACGGACGAGACGACAGTCTCAAGTCCAGATCAGCAGACCACGCCGCCTCTGACCTCGGATGAGATCGCAGGCTCACGTAATACGAACGAGACTGCCGTCTCACGTTCGGGTCGCCAAGTACAGTTGCCCGTACGCTTCCGCGACTAGCCGCACAGTTAACAACCGATGCGGTGTAGGATTATTCCTATACTACACGCATGCTACACTCTTTTCTTTTTTGATTTTCTTTTTGTTTCCTGAGCCAACGCCATCGACCTTCTCCGTTTGGTTCCGTCGACTTCAGTCAACTTTGGCGAAAGCTGGATTGGCCATCCATGCTCTTGTCAACGCACTCGGTCGATATATTGGTTTCGAATGCTTGGTATACGCTTGGTCTCGAACTTGGTCGTTATGGTCGCTTCTGGCCTTTTGGCTCAACGTGGTTTCGTCCTACGTCTGCAACGTTTCTGGTCCGCATTCCCCACGAACGCAATCTTCAGATTCTGGATACAAACCACTCTGGTGTAGCACGTCAACTCAGGCAACAAATACAGCACATCGCTCCTGGTACCGTTCTCCGAAAAAGACCTTCGTTGGCAACTCGACGATCAACGATCGCTTTCCTGTTCGCCAATTCTTCCGTCCTACAATCACTCGTCAGCCGATCAGTCCGACGATTTAAACCGCTATTTATCGAAAGTGTAAACCCTTTCTAGCGGGGGGCTCCTGTAGTGACTCACATTTATCACGAGAACACGACTGGTTTAATAAAAACAATTATTATCATAACCAACTGTGCCAGTGTTTGTCTTTATGTGCTTTTGTTTGACTGTGCTAATGACAGCTATATTGTGCTTCCATTCTTATTCTTACACTTTGATTGTAACTTCGCGCGAATTCGGTTACGATCTGTAACCAAGCTTCATTCCTGGCACGATCTCCGTATCCTTTCGATACCACGAGATCGCCAGCAAATATATCTCGATTTGGTCTATTAATTGCCTTCTGATATTTGGCTTCTCGGGGATTTTATGGATTTATTTGGTTACGTTCAACCTTCGCCTTCTGATTTACTTGGCACGTGTATTTTGGTAGCGGTGTTCATAGTTAATCTCGACTCGACACCACGCTACAGGACTCTCTGCCGTGCAGTCACTTATTGAAATCAGGTGACGTAAGAATACTGCCTTTTACACCATATTCTGAGCTCATTCTGATTAGGAATATCCCGAAAGTATCTCATGAGACGCTCTTTCGCGGAACAAATAACATCGTGTAAGGTGGTTCAGAAAACACTAGCACTAGTTATAAAGACTACCGTATTCTAGATTGGATGTTTTATAAACCATTTCTTGTAACCTAAGAACATGCTGACCCAACAGCTGGTGCCTTTAGCCAAGAATGACAGCAATTCTAGACACCAGCCAATTGAGATGTCCTGCACATCCTCCCAGTGGTAGCTACCATCGCAAGACACTTTGTTCAAACAGACACCGGTAACCAACTGAAGTTCACGTACATCGAGAGAAGCCGCATGATAAAAGGATTTTAGCTTGTCATAAGTAAGGAAGTTACGTAAAATGGACGATACAATCTTTCTTACTTCTTTTTGTTCTGGACACTACTTCATTCGGCAAGTCCACAAATCAGAACATGGTTAAACAGGAACGTGATTATGTTTTAAACAATTAAGGTTGTATGGAAGCAGGAAAACATTAGCATACTTGCAGTTTTTGTAATAGAAGTTTCTAGACTGTTCTTCAAGTATCCACTGTCCAAGATTGGGGAAGAATGTGACAATGTGACCAAACGAGTAATTGCGAGAAGACATAATGTAATATATACACGTTATGTGGAAAAATAGTAGTTTTTATTAGAAAACGAATGAATTTAGTGATGTAACATATATCAATGATTGTTTGCTTTGATCTGTAAAATGAACTTAACGCCTAGGTTTCTTTACAGTTCCGCCTAAGCGTGTTGAACATGCAGGATTACGGCTTGGTTCTTCATCTTCGACTGATATTGTAGTAATTAATGGCATAGATTGTTTATATGTAGTAGCATTCTCTTTGTCCTGTAGGTCTTCGTAGAAAGCTAGAATAATCCTATCTATAGAGAAGGAGGAAGTGTTTGTTTGTTCGTTTAAATACCCAGAAGATACCACAGATATTCGTAGTTTGATAACACTTCAACCAGCAACACTTTCTATAACTGAGTCGTGCCCACTCAGTAAAATCAAAAGTCAGAAGCGCGGATGTTCGAAGATATATTTGATGGGTTATCAATATATCGAGAAGCGACTGAACTAAAATGACTAGCGGTTGCAGAAGAAGTTGGGCACGGCGTTCGCACTCGTGATCTGAAGTGAATGCGCGACCAAGCACCACGGCTCAGTGAGTCCATTGAAACTAACGTGGTAAGCACCATATGTCGAAAGCTTGCCAAGTTATTGGTTTTTTGGATTTATTTACCGCTACATACTGATAAAGTCCTTCGTACGGTTGTTTTAACGGCTATTTAACGACTGGAACGAAGACGAATTTACACGTTTGCAGACGTTTATCGAGTTGAACGCGATTGTTATGCTTCCGATTAGGTTTTGCTTTACAATTTTGTATTGTAGTTTTTATGTGGCTCACTCTCAGAAGTCTGGTGAATACCTAAAACAGAATTCAAACGGATTTAAACTGGGAACCATGGTCTGTGGTAAAAACATGGGAATAAATAATCCCATATTCAATGTTCAAGAAATACTTATGCAACAGTTTCTGCTGACATGTCGAATAGGGTATACTATCGCATACCTGTTAAGTCTGCCCACAGAGGTAAGAATATGAGTGAAGGAGTTTGATTGTTAAAGAAGACCAACTATACCTAGGTGTATGTGCTGGAAACATCTATCGGGCAGTGGAAACGTTCCAAGGAGCCTGACTGTGTGTTGTTGGACTTGCTACGTTGATAGTATATGCAGCTTCTTGACCGCCTATTTAAATCCAAGTTAACTTTAAGCCAGATAAATGATCGGTGATGCGGATGGTTGTGTCTGGGATTCCAGGGTGCGCAAGTACATGTAGCTGTTTAGATATCTTCCGTCGATAAGCTTTGTGTACAAAAGGACGACTTGTAAGCAACGATGGTTAGTGGCTAGCAGTGGAATCGAGGACGCGCGT